TACAGTAGTGGAGACAAGGATCATCCCTCCCTTCAAGGAGCTTTATTCAAGTGGCACAAAAACAAATTAAGTACAAAATAATTACAGCTCATTAGGAATATTATTGAGGAAGCAGAGAGCTGTGACAGAGACTAACAGGAGGGCAGGGGACTGCTTAAGCTAGGTGGTTAGGGAAAACCCTTCTGAAAAGGTTCCAGTGAAGCTGAGACCTGAGGGATGTGGGGCCAGATATGAGCTGAGCCAGGTGAAACCATTCCAGATGGAGGGACAAGAAGTACAAAGGCCCTGAGCTACTTACTCTCCTAAAGACACCACTGCTTTGTTATTTGTCCTTTTGTCTTGGCTTTCTGAAACAGTCTCTCACTTCACTGATGTAAGCATCTCTTAATTATCAATACTATCAACAAACTGAGTAACACTTTCGTAAATTAATCATAACCACACTACCATTTTCTATGTTACTCATTTACTTAAATACACTGGGTGCTTAACATGTAACATGCATAACAAGAGTCAACACAAAACGAAAAGAGTATGTGGTACTTGCCCTGGCAGAGCTCAGAGGCTGGCAGGAGAGACGAGTGAGTGCACAGACAACAGCAAAACCACATGTTAACTAAGAAGAGACATTCAAAGGTTTTATGGGACCACAGAGAAGGGGTGGCCAGTGCACATGGGAAGGAAATCTCCATGACAATGTACCTCCCAGGCACTAATTTGATCTTTACTAAAATTTTTTTAATAGTAAGTTAGGAAGATTTTGTTTCACAGATAATTGAAGCTCACAGGAGTTAAATACTTTGCCCAGTTTCATATGGCTAGCAAGTGACTGGTTAGCATTTGAACTTAGGTCTCACAGGCAATCAAGTAAATTTGCTGTCTCCATGTTAAAAGCTGAAAGACACTGTTTAGATTATCTTACATGTGAGGAAACAGAGAACTAAAAAAGCCAGGTCACAGCGCCCAAAGTAGAATCTTGTCTCCTGATCCCCAAGTCGGGATATTCTGTACACCATTCGTGAGTGTCCAGAACAGGGTTTCTTAACCTAGAGTCCATGTACCCACTGAAATTATACGCAAAACGTTGTGTATTCAGTGGAAAGGGTCCAAAGCTTTTACCAAATACTCAAAGGGTTGAGACTTCCTAAAAAAGACAGCTGGTCTATAAAGCTAATTTTCATCCCCACTGGAGTACCAACAATGATATATTTTTACCTTTTCATTTACTTTCTGGAGGGACAGTGATCATTTAAAAGGAGGGTCTTCAAGATCTCACAGAGTTCTAAAGGCTAAGAAGGAGCTCTCAGGTCATAAAAGAAAAAATATCCCAACTAAAAATAAAAACTTTAGAAATCATTTCAGATGGACTTGTAGGTACTCAGCCCATTTATACTAGTTAGCATGACAGTGGCGTTGGTACTGTGCAGTACAGAGATTCACTTTAGAATCAGAAGATTTTATCACTAAACAGCGTATGAAGTGGGAGAGGCACTTTTACTCCAGGCCTTGGTAGTCCTGCTCCCAAGACAGATACAGTGTCACGCCACACAGGACTGCAGGACTGGTGATGCAAATAAAAGCACCTATTACAACAAATGGCATTTAGGAGATGTTCAATAAATATGATTTGAAGGTGTGAACCCCAACTTTAGATTTAATTACCACATGAATGTGTGTTGTAATTATTTTTCCCTGTATTTTTCAGTCTTTAAAAGAAAGTTGTAGTTGAAAAAAAAAAATCATTAATCTCAGTTACTTTTTATACTCCTTTGCTCAGTTTACTCAGAAGTTCTGGAGTCAGTAAAGAAGACAGTGAAAACAGAAAATTTATAGTTAATGCATATAAAAAACAGTATAGTACTTGACTTTACAAATAGTAGGTATGTGATAAATGTTAGTTCCTTCCCTTCCCATCTATTCCCCTCAAACCATTCATTACTACTATTTGCTCTCTGTAATTTCACAACTACTCTTGTTGGCTCTCATTGAGTTGGATCATGAGGGTGTCAGTAGATACTTCTCCCTTATAAAACAAAAAACAAAAAAACCCTTCATCCCCTGATTTCAATCCACTAGTCTCCAGGCTCTTGGTCAGGCCCTGCTGCCAGATATAAGTCTAAGATCATAAATTATGCAATCATTTTCGTAAATTACATTTCAAATGCTCAGTAAGACTCACACTCTGATTTGACGAATAGGTCCGTATTTCCCAAATATATCATACATTTCCTCAGCTGTGATTTTATATGGCAAATTTCTTATATACAAAATCCGATTTACTTCAGGTGGAAGTCGAATCTACAATGAAAAATATGTATTGTTATTATAATCAGGGGCAGGAATACTAACTTTAAAAAAAGTTATACATCATAAAAAAAGCCAAGAATAAGAATTATAACCTGATATTCTCGAAAATGGCATGCTCTTCACAAAAGCAACTGGGTGGTAGTTTTAGGAAAGACTATAAGGAACTAATATGGGGCTACTACAAAACCCAGGCTTTCAGTCACTACAGTTAACAACAATTTCCAACCTCATTTAAAAGTCCTTGATGCCATACATTACACAAAATACTTAATTTGGATCTCTGTTCATTCATTCAACAACTATTTACTGAGTGCCTTTATATATACCAGGCTAGATATTAGGATTATACAGTGAAGGAAAAAAGACAAGGTTTCTTCAGTTCTCTACTTACTCTATCTTGCTTTTGTCCTTTCAGTCAAACATCTGGGAAGTCTGTACTCACTGCCTCATATTCTTCACTGACACTCATCAACCTACCACAACCCAGCTTCTACCGCAGCACTCTGATCAAAGTGCTTTTACACACAAAGACCTTTTAGTTGCAGTGCTGAAGTCTCATCATACTTAACAGCTCTGAGGCTTCTGACACTGTTTTATCACTAAACAGCGTGTGAAGCGGGAGAGGCACCTTTTTTTCTTGACATTATATTTCCTTGGCTTCCCCCTAACTCTCTAGTCCTCTTTGCCATTAAAATATACTCTTCCACTGAGTTCTTTTAGATTTTAGACTTCTTTTCTTGACCCTTTGTATACTCCCCTTAACTCTACACTCTCTTTGGTCTGTTAACTACACACGAGGGTGTCCACAGGAAGATGATAATTCTCAAATACGTATCTCCCATCCAGAGTCACTCCTGTGCTCCTTATTAACATATTCAGTTACATACTGGACATTAACTTGCTCAATAACTGTTTATTAAACTGGCAGCTATTTCAGACTTAAAACTAAGTGTCCTATAAATGGAAGAATGAGATACTTATTCCCTGCCCTTAAACTAGTAATTGTGACAAATGGTAAACAAGTAAGTACAAAGTTTCAGATTATAAGATTCAAGATTAAGTTCAACTAGACAGTCAACTCTGCCAATCATAATACACTTCTCCACTAAATTTGTCCTCATTCTGCAAGACACTTCCTCTGCCCTCCTCAAACCTCACCACCACCACTCAAACATCCGAATTGGGCTGTATCTTTTTCCCTGACCATCCTAGCAGATGAACTGGGCTTTTGCTTATTGAAAAAAACTAAGTATGACCGAATGGCAAGTGCCTTATATTTGTATCACTAAACCCACAAATACACATTCATCCATATCCATGCACCTTCCCTTTCAATACTATGCCAGCCTTCATCTACTAGAAACCTTCACTTCTGAACATAACCCACCTTTCTTCTACATCAATTTCTCCTACCCTATGGCTCATTACCTTGGCATACAAATACACCTACACCACACATCTCTAAAAAAGCCAGCTATCATTCAATTTCTCTATTCCCTATTTACATGAAAACTTGATGAAAGAGTTGTCTCCATTTTCTCAACTTCCATGCTCTTTTCGTCCTACTGCAACCAGTTTTCATCCACTGAAATCATCATCAATGTTACCAAAATTCTCCATCTCACCATGTCCAATTATCTGTCTTCGTCATACTATACCTCTCAGCGTCTTACAATTGAACATCCTCTTTCTTATCATTTTGTTGTTGTTGTTTCTATAAGGCCTTTTTGTTTTATTCACTGCTGTATTCTCAACATAGCCTAGTCTCTGGCTCATAGAAGGTGACATACTGATAAATTATTTCCTATCTCGAAACTTTGGCATGTATACTAGATGCTCAAAAATACTGTTGAATTAAGCCATTAATGAAGGATCCAAAAAGGTCAATCTAAGGAGAATCCCAGGCACTAGTTGCCTGTGAACTACCAAATTATTTATGGGGACTGTCTGTGCTGTCACCATTTCGGCTCCGTCAAGCAACAAAGGCTGAGGGCTAACACTGTCACTGAAAGAAACTCCCAAAAAGGGTGGGGGCAGAATGTGGGAGCATAGGACGGGGCCTGGATGGACTTTCTTGTGATGGGATAAATTCTGGGCTTCACAGAGGATCAGAGGAGGGACAAGAATGCTCAGGTCCAAGCCGCTGAGAAAGTCCAGCAGCGAAGGCCTCCCGCTCCGCGGAAGAAGGCTCCGATACTCACATTCGCCCTTTTGGCCGCTTGCATCGCCATCTTGGCGGCCTGATAAGGTTACCGCAGCAAATACAGGAATTCCTTCGGACACCTCCGGGGCTAGCTCAGGTTCCAGATCTACACGGTGTCAGACGCAGGACACCACCACCCAGGCTCCGCCGGAAGCTTTATTGCACGCCGGAATATCGCCTTCTTACGCCGAGACGGGCTGACGTATTCCGTCTCGAAAAGACTCCGCTGCAAACCGAGATAGAGATAAAAATGAGGCCGGCAGGTTGAGTGACTAGTGTCCAGGGAACTTCCGAGGTCTGGACCGGAAAAGGTGGGGCCTCGGCCTGAGAAAGGGCGGTGTTCCGGCGCGAGCGGTTCTCAGCAGAGGGCTAGAGGGGCGGGGCCTGAGGGCGGAGCGGCGGGGCTGCGCCCAGGTGCGAGACCGGGAGGGCCGGGCCTGGCGCGGCGCCGGTGCGGAGGACCGCTGACAGGTCTGGGTCTCCGGCAGTTGGCAAAACAGGCCCTACAGGGTTCTGGCAGGGTGTGTCGTGGCTGACGCAGTACCGTACCCGGAATCCCTCCACCACTGGCGCAGCCCTTAAAGTTTAGCATCAGATGACCTGCTCTCTGGTAATCTGTCCCGACCCCAACCTCACCCCAGCCCTGGTGGCCTCGGTGCACGCGCTGGGGTCGCCCACAGTGATCCCGCCGCCCTTCAAATCCACTCTTTTTATTTTCTTAGCCCAGGTTTATATAGGTCTGTTCATGAGGCCCGGGAGGACCAATGGGTTACAGGGGGGTCTGCAGTAGCTCCCGGTCTCTTTCCTGCATGCTGTGAATTTTCTCCAAGTTTGTTCTGGGAAGGCCAGCGGTATCCGCATTCTGTGTTGCTCCCTCCTTCATTGTGGTAGCTCCAGGACGATTTTGCCCACGTTCTTGTTAGCCTCCATGTATGCGTGGGCCTCTTGGATTTCAGTCACAGGGTAGACTCTGTCCAAAACAGGCAGGAGACGTTGGGGGCCCTCCGTGGAGAAGTGGGGCAGAATTTGTTCTGTGAAAGCCTTCACCAGCATTTGCTTGTACTAAGAAAAGGAAAAGGAGACCATCAGCCTGGACAGAGGCCTTCCCACTCCCCATCCCGCTTAGCTTTTATGCTCTCTCTGAAAGTGTACACATCTGAAAAAGCACACTGGAGTGCCTAACCCTTTCACACCAGCATGTATGTGCATGCCCCCACATGTATAATCTCTGTTCTGTACCAGATAAAGACTGAAGCCTGGTGTAAAATATTGGTGTCAATGACAGCCAAAGGACTGTTTTTAAAACAAAGGCTTAAGGCGGGAGAGGTAGCCACTGACAGGACTTACATAGGCTAAGTTCAAAAGGGATGCTTAGGCTCTGCTCTTTCTCAGCAGGTGTAAAACTGGATGTTGGAAACATTCCTAAATCTGCTAGAAGACCGCATAGAGATTTCAGGAATTTATATTCTGTTAAAGGTACAGGCTAATTTAACCTAAGAGGCTGTCTTAACACACTGAGATGAGTTGTGCCCTTGAAGACAAAGCCTTGGAACTACCTTTAGAAGTATTCCCTAATATGGTTAATGCTTTGTTCATTCTTTTAGAAAATTTAAATATATGAAGTATTAGCCACCTTCTTTCCAAGATGTTGAGGCTTCTATTGATCAATTTTTACTTGTTCTGAAACTGAGTTACCTATTATCCATGGGGGCAGGTTTCCTAAACTTAAGGTGCATCAGATCTTCCTTTCTTGGATTAATATAAATTTTGCATCACTATTTTCTAGGTAACAACTAAATCAAATGTTCTCTTCTCACTCATCATTCACCTTTTTGTCCCTGGATCGCAGCAGACTGGTGATCAGATTTCCTCGTTTAAAAAGCAGCTTTGAAAAGAGAGGCCCATTGATGTCAGCTCCTCCCATCAAACCATAGAGAACCCAGCGACCATCAAGAGCTAGGCACTTGACATTTTTCTCCCAGAAGGATCCACCTATGCAGTCTAGAATAAGATTGACTCCAGTACCTACCATATGAAACAGATGTAATGTTAGTCAGATACAGGCAGCTTGGTGGACAACAAGATATCATGGTCATTTTCTGGATATATATATATATATATTATAAATAAATAAATGCAGGTGCAGCGGTAAATTTATAGGTTGGTAGAAACAGTGCTCAAAGAACTATTGTTGTAATGGAGTTTAGGTAGCTGGACTCTATCATACACATGTGCTGTAATTCATCTTTTATGATTCCCTAGCCACAGCAAGAGTGAAATGGGACAACACGATGACCTGGTACCTCTGCTGATCCCCACATAAGTACAGAACCCACTAGCATCCAGGCATGACTGAGAACAGAACATGGAAAATCCACCCCAGGCTACAGGGCAGGCTAGTTCACAGGCTAGTTCAAGGCTGGATCTAAGTTGTGGTTTCATCTCTCCTTTTCCCTTCATGTGGAAAAACGGAAAGGGATGGGTTAAAAGTATGCAGTTTTGGCTTTGGAGTACAGAGGCTCATCCATTTAGGGAGCAACCACCCCAGCCCTACTATGACCAGCTCCAAAACTGGTCTCTGTTCCCTGTTAACTCACTGAAGAGTGGCTTGTTAGGAGGAAGAAATCCTGGATAATTCCAGGGCAACTCTTTGTGGTTTATCCAGTTTCTAAAACATGTGTGAATCATATCACTTACAAGAATACACAGGGAAACCATTTTAGTCCTAAATTCTGGCTGCCTGTCTCCAGTGGTGAAACACCAATATACTAGAATTTGGTTAGGGCATCCATTGTGCATTTAGCAGAGGCAAGAGAGATCCAGAGCATGGTAACTTTGAGGCTGGTAAGGATTTTATTCTATCACCTCTGAAATTCCATCTGAGCAGAAACTTTTGTGTACCTTTGGTGAATTTCAGTGTTGCTTCAGAAAAATCCTCTTCTTTGTAATTGAATCCAGCAGCTGCTCCGAGCTTTTCTGCCACTTGAAGCTTGTGCTGGGAGCCAGCCGTGACTAGAGGAATAGCTCCAGCCATTCGGGCAAGTTGGATGGCAGCTGTGCCCACACCACTTGCTCCTGCATGGATTAGCACAGAGTCTCCAGCCTGAATGTTTCCTGTGGCACAAAGTACAGGAACCATTCTCTTTACTTTGCAACTGCTACATAATCCCACACAGGCATATTCTACCACAATCACCTGGACCTGGGACCACCAAATGCCAAATCTCTTGCTCTCTTAAGAGAGCATCTTGGCAGTTCTTTTTTTGTCTTACTGCCTCTGGTCAAAGTTGGGAAACAACCTTTTGAAATATTTACTAACAGCTACATCCATAATGTGTTCTACCTATGAAATAATATGAAAATGCACATCTCTGACTTCTGCCTGCATTAAGTAAGAATGACTGCCACCACCTGGAGCCAGTTCTGCTTCTGCCTCCTGCTGGTCTCATTGACCCAGGCACCGAACACAGCCACCGACTCCTCCTCCTAAAATGGAGCTTTCATGTCACTTTCTCCGCAGAATGTAAAGCAGTTCTCAGTTGACTTTTGCGTCAAGTCCAGGTCATGTTCTGTTCAAGGCCACCACTGTCTAGTCTCAGTCTCATCTTTCACAAATGCTAATCATCATCCTTCACTTTGAGCAGAACAGCCAATCTTACCTTGACATTCTTCAGCCTCCTTGGCCTGCCTTCTGTCCGTCATGACTCCACCCTCCCTTCAAGTCCTTCTCTTCAAGAAAGCCTTCTCTGACCACCCTTGCCTACACCAACTGTTCCCATCTTGAGCTTCTATTGTAGTTAGAAACAGGGCCACCCTTTGAAAGTCTACTGTTGTCTTTGGAACTGTACATGTTGTCTTTCCCGTTACACTGAGCTCTCTAAAGGCAGGGACCAAGTCTTCTTAGGCTCCCTCAAGTGGGCTTGTGGTGACCTCTGTGGGGTAAGAGAGGAATAAAAAAGTTGATTGGGCCCTTATTCTGCCCTAGGGCTCCTAGGGAGAGCTCAGCAGGACTTTGAGAAGCTGGGACAACTGGTGGGTGTACAGTGTGTAGATGTGCACAGGCCTTCTATCTGCCAACCATGACTCTCAGCTTCAACATTATGCCAGTACTAACACGGGATGAGGAGCTGATGCTACTGGTGCTACAGAAGGGTGAGATGCTGGGTTTTGGGGGGCTGAGTCATGAATTGAGCCATACCATGTGGAATGAGCATCGGGGAGGGGGCTCCTTACCCAAGAGATGTAACAGCTGGAAGGCAGTGAGCCAGGCCTCTGGGATGGCTGCAGCCTGGAGCAGGGTCAGTCCTGCTGGGATGGGCATAAGGAGCCCTTCGGGGACTGTGACATACTGAGCCTGGCCCCCTCCAGGCAGCAGAACCATGGCTGGGTCCCCAATCTTCCACTGCCCCTGGCATCCGGGCCCCAGCTCTGCAACATATCCAGATGCTTCGAGTCCCAGAACGCTGCTAGCTCCCGGGGGTGGAGCATACTGGCCTTGTCTCTGCAGAGAGGGTTACAGTAAGTGATGAGCATGACCAGAAATCTCTTGGTCACCATCCCTGGCCCTCTTCTAGTCACTCTTCTTTTTCTCAGAAAATTCAGGACAAAGTCAGATTTTGTAACTCAGGAAAAGAGAAGAGATGGTTTGTTTTTTGCAAATAAGAGACCGAAGGTCACGTAATCAATGACTGTCATAACTGGTAAGGTCCTTAGCCATTTACTTCAACTAAACCCCTTATCCTACAAATGGAGAAACTAAGACCTGGGCACAGACACGCATTGTCCAAGGTCACAAGGTAAATTAGTAGCAGGACGGGGAACAAAACTGTGAACTCCTTAATGCTAGTTCTTACATATCATGTAATAGGCTTTGTACTTACTCTTTGCAGTCCTCAGAAACCTCTGACCAGAGGCTTTAGGCCAGAACACTAAACTAGGAGTCTGCATCAAAACCATCTGAGGAGCTTTTCCAAAGTGCACGTGCCTAGGTCCTGGACAGGTTTCTTTTGAAAAAGTGCCCTGGATTCACACTGCGCAGATACCGCAACCAAAGCAGCTGGTCCAGGTTCATGCCTCAAATAGCAGAAAGAAGGAAGTTCTTAAGAGTACAGAGTTCTGTCTCCTGCCAGCTCTGGGACCCTCTGAGTGGAAACAGTGCGGACTTTGGAGCCACAAAGCCCTCCATTTGAACTAGTTCCCCTGTTTACTAGTGTCCTGGCCTTGCACATATGCTTAACCTCTCTGACCCTCAGTTTCTTTATCTGTGGAATACAAATGATGAACCTGCTTGTCTGAAGAGTAAATGAGATACAGCAAGGCCTAACACACACCCTCAACAAATGGTAGTTCCTGACTCCTAATCTGGAAAGGATAAGCCTTCTGCTTGCAAAACTCCTGTGTTTTTTGTGTGAACAAAGGAGACTGGGGGTTCTACGTCAGAACCCCCAGCAGCGCACACTCTGCAGTGTGTGGAGTGTTACCGGGGCGTCTGGCGAATGTTCATTGAAGGCCCTGAAGGCCGACCCGTCCCAGGTGCTGCCTGAGCCCTGAGTACCTGGAGTAAGTCCGCCCGGTTCAGGGCGCTGGCCGCCACCTTCAGGAGGACTTCACCCGCTCCTGGGCTTGGCTTGGCCACCTCCTTCACGGAGAGGTTTTCTGTTCCTCCCGGCTTGTCAAAGTGCACAGCTAACATGTTCTCTGAGGACAAGTGGGGCCAGGCAGGGAGCCCGAAGCCCCCGCCCTCCTCCCGGGTCCCTGCTGCTCCAGACGGGCCCCGACAGAGGCCACAGACGGGGGCCGGAGGAAGTGCAGATGGCCGTGCCGGGTGGCTGCGGTGGAGCAGTTACACCTGAAGAGCATGCGGCCAAGTACACCCCGGGGAGTTGGGATCCGCCGCCAGGCCCAGCTCGCCGGCCGGAGCCCGCGTGACTTACTTGCTGCGGGCCGGGTCCTCCCCTGCGGGCGGCGCGGTCAGCCTCGTTCAGCCTCGGGGCGGGGCCCACGCCGGAGCCCGGGACAGCCTCGGCCGTCCGGAGGGGCCTGGGAGTCGGGGCAGGGCCGGGGCCAGGGGTGGGGCCGACCGAACCAGCCCTCCACTCTTCTCCTCCTTTCAAATGCAAAGCTAGTGCAGGCAAATCAGATTTTCTCTTCCTTTAGCCACTGGAAACTGGTCTTTCTCCGGGCCTGGCAGGACCTGCTGTTTGGCTCTCACTTTGAGAGAAGACTTCTCCCCCTAGGAGTACTTCCGAACGCTTGGAGGGCCCAGTGAGGCCAGGCTCTTAGCCCTTTTACGCCACTGGTCTGGCAACCTACTCTTCCTGTGGGCAGGCATCCTGAGGGCAAGCTGGGTGCTACTGAGAGAAAAGGAAGGTAAATGCAGTCTTGGGACCCTTATCAAGTCCGCCCTCCTTCTGATAATTTCTCCCACGTACTGGTTGGCCTCCCCATGACAGTGGGCCTTTTGCACCACACTCATGGTGAAGACTTTATCTGTGACAGGCGACAGGTGCACAGCACGCCCAGTGAGAAGTGGGATATGATCTGCTCTTTGAATGCTTCACCAAAGCTTCCTTACACCAGGACGGGAGACCAGCCCACTAGCAGGGTAAGGGTGAGGTCCCCATGGCTTCACACAAATATGAGGGGCTCCTGAGGTGACTGAGGGGAACGGGCCAAAGTACTAGCTGTGGCCCAGGGAGGTCAGACTGAGCCATGGAGGATCTAAACCCTCAATCAGTCTCAGTCTCCTTGGGCACCAGAAGCCCCAGAGTTGCGAGGGATCCTCTAAATCTCTAAAAGTCTATGAATCTCAATGTGACTCCAGGCCTGGCGGAAGGGAGATGTAAACGGAGTCAAATGAGGAAGCAGCCAAGGGACCGAGTCTTCC